GATCCGGACATGGGACCGGACCTGGGACAGGATCTGGGACAGGATCTGGGGACTGGACCTGGGACCGGACCTGGGGTCGGACCTGGGGCCGGATCTAGGACCGGATCTGGAAAAGGATCTGGGACCAGAGCTAGAACAGGACGTGAGACAGGACATGGGACAGGATCTGGGACTGGATCTGGACCTGGGATTGGACCTGGGACCGGATCTGGACATGGGACTGGATCTGGGACTGGATCTGGGACTGGATCTGGAACTGGACCTGGGACCGGATCTGGGACTGGACCTGGGACAAAACCCAAGACCGGACCAAGACCAGGGGGAGGCAAGGGACCAAAGGGCGGGACAAAGGTCGGGTTGTAGTCGGCGCCGGGACCTGAGACCCGTCAAAGTCCACGGACCAAATAAAAATCTGACACAACAAATCCTGTCACTTTTGTCTTATTATTTTGTGAGTAAAAGGAGCGAAGACGGAGACTAAACCTGGACTAAACCAGGACTAAACCTGGACTAAACCTGGACTAAACCTGGACTAAACCAGGACTAAACCAGGTCTAAACCAGGACTAAACACAGGACTAAACCAGGACTAAACCAGACTAAACCTAACCCAGGACTAAAAAACAGGTCTAACCTAGGACTAAACCAGGTCTAAAACCAGGACTAAACCAGGACTAAACCAGGTCTAAAACTGGACTAAACCAGGACTAAACAGGACTGGACTAAACCAGGGACTAAACCAGGACTAAACCAGGACTAAACCAGGACTAAAACTAAACTCTAAACCAGGACTAAACCAGGTCTAAACCAGGTCTAAACCCAGGACTAAACCAGGTCTAAACCAGGACTCTAAACCAGGACTAAACCAGGTCTAAACCAGGACTAAACCAGGTCTAAAACCAGGACTAAACCAGGACTAAACCAGGACTAACCAAGTCTAAACAGAACTAAACCAGGTCTAAACCAGGTCTAAACCAGGTCTAAACCAGGACTAAACCAGGTCTAAAACCAGGACTAAACCAGGACTAAACCAGGTCTAAACCAGGACTAAACCAGGTCTAAACCAGGTCTAAACCAGGGTCTAAACCAGGACTAAACCAGGTCTAAACCAGGTCTAAACCAGGTCTAAACCAGGACTAAACCAGGTCTAAACCAGGACTAAACCAGGACTAACCAGGACTAAACCAGGACTAAACCAGTCTAAACCACTAAACCAGGTCTAAACCAGGTCTAAACCAGGACTAAACCAGGTCTAAACCAGGACTAAACCAGGACTAAACCAGGTCTAAACCAGGAAACCAGGACTAAACCAGGTCTAAACCAGGTCTAAACCAGGACTAAACCAGGTCTAAACCAGGACTAAACCAGGTCTAAACCAGGACTAAACCAGGTCTAAACCAGGACTAAACCAGGTCTAAACCAGTACTAAACCAGGACTAAACCAGGTCTAAACCAGTCTAAACAAGGTCTAAACCAGGTCTAAACCTGATCTCTGTGCCTCTTGGGCCTGTGGTCCTGGTCCAGGTCCACCCAGGTCTTTGTCCGGGTGGATCCTGAGATCTCGAGTTTTTCCTCCTGAGGCCGAATCTTTTCACCCACAACAACGCGTGACCCAGAAAAGTCCACAACACCCAGATCCTGTTTCAGATCGTCACCAAACTCCGGGACGTGTGGAACGGTCCTCGCCGCGGGCGGACCGGAGCCGGCGCGGGATTGGTCGGGCGGCGGCGCGGGGCTGGCGTGTGATTGGTCGGGACGGGGTCATATATGTGTCGGGTTCGGGGTTTCGGGCCCAGAGTTCGGAGATGGAGCGAGCGCGTGCGACGGCGGCGCTGGTCCTGGCGGCGGCGGCGCTTTTCTCAGGAATCACGGACGCAAAAGTTTATGACAAATGTGAACTGAGCGATTTACTGAAGACCGGACTAAAGAAGGCCCGGGACACGACCGTCGAGAAGAGTAAGACCGGGACTAGACCGGGACAGACCGGATAAACCAGACTAAACCAGGACTAACCCGGGAAACGACCATTCGAGAAGAGTAAGACCGGGACTAGACCGGGACTAAACCAGGAAACCAGGACTAAACCCGGGACAACGACCGTCGAGAAGAGTAAGACCGGGACCAGACCGGGACTAACGGGACTAAACCGGAAACACGACGTCGAGAAGAGTAAGACCGGGACTAGACCGGGACTAAACCAGGACTAAACCAGGACTAAACCCGGGACACGACCGTCGAGAAGAGTAAGACCGGGACTAGACCGGGACTAAACCAGGACTAAACCCGGGACACGACCGTCGAGAAGAGTAAGACCGGGACAGACCGGGACTAAACCAGGACTAAACCAGGACTAAACCCGGGACACGACCGTGGAGAAGAGTAAGACCGGGACTAGACCGGGACTAGACCGGGACTAAACCAGGACTAAACCCGGGACACGACCGTCGAGAAGAGTAAGACCGGGACAGACCGGGACTAGACCGGGACTAAACCAGGACTAAACCAGGACTAAACCCGGGACACGACCGTCGAGAAGAGTAAGACCGGGACTAGACCGGGACTAAACCAGGACTAAACCAGGACTAAACCCGGGACACGACCGTCGAGAAGAGTAAGACCGGGACTAGACCGGGACTAAACCAGGACTAAACCCGGGACACGACCGTCGAGAAGAGTAAGACCGGGACTAGACCGGGACTAAACCAGGACTAAACCAGGACTAAAACCCGGGACACGACCGTCGAGAAGAGTAAAGACGGGACTAGACCGGGACTAGACCAGGACTAACCAGGACTAAACCCGGGACACGACCGTCGAGAAGAGTAAGACCGGGACTAGACCGGGACTAGACCAGGACTAAACCAGGACTAAACCGGGACACGACCGTCGAGAAGAGTAAGACCGGGACTAGACCGGGACTAAACCAGGACTAAACCCGGGACACGACCGTCGAGAAGAGTAAGACCGGGACTAGACCGGGACTAAACCAGGACTGAACCAGGACTAAACCAGGACTAAACCCGGGAACGACCACGAGAAGAGTAAGACCGGGACTAGACCGGGACTAAACGGGACTAAACCGGGACTAACCAGGACTAACCCGGACTAACCCGGGACACGACCGTCGAGAAGAGTAAGACCGGGACCAGACCGGGACTAAGACCAGGACTAAACCCGGACACGACCGTCGAGAAGAGTAAGACCGGGACCAGACCGGGACTAGACCGGGACTAAACCAGGACTAAACCAGGACTAAACCCGGGACACGACCGTCGAGAAGAGTAAGACCGGACTAGACCGGGACTAGACCGGGACTAAACCAGGACTAAACCCGGGACACGACCGTCGAGAAGAGTAAGACCGGGACCAGACCGGGACTAGACCGGGACTAAACCAGGACTAAACCAGGACTAAACCGGGACACGACCGTCGAGAAGAGTAAGACCGGGACCAGACCGGGACTAGACCGGGACTAAACCAGGACTAAACCAGGACTAAACCAGAACTAAACCAGGACTAAACCCGAGACACGACTGTGGAGGAGAGTAAGACTGGGGCTGTAATGGGACATGTTTGTGTGTAATGTTTGTGTGTAATGTCTGTGTGTAATGGTACATGTTTGTGTGTAATGGTACATCTCTGTGTGTAATGGTACATGTTTGTGTGTAATGTCTGTGTGGTACATGTGTAATGTGTGTACATGTAATGTAATGTTTGTGTGTAATGTTTGTGTGTAATGTCTGTGTGTAATGGTACATGTCTGTGTGTAATGTCTGTGTGTAATGGTACATGTTTGTGTGTAATGGTACATGTTTGTGTGTAATGTTTGTGTGTAATGTCTGTGTGTAATGGTACATGTCTGTGTGTAATGTCTGTGTGTAATGGTACATGTTTGTGTGTAATGTCTGTGTGTAATGGTACATGTTTGTGTGTAATGGTACATGTTTGTGTGTAATGTTTGTGTGTAATGGTACATGTTTGTGTGTAATGTCTGTGTGTAATGGTACATGTTTGTGTGTAATGGTACATGTCTGTGTGTAATGGTACATGTTTGTGTGTAATGTCTGTGTGTAATGGTACATGTTTGTGTGTAATGTCTGTGTGTAATGGTACATGTTTGTGTGTAATGTCTGTGTGTAATGGTACATGTTTGTGTGTAATGTCTGTGTGTAATGGTACATGTGTTGTGTGTGTAATGTCTGTGTGTAATGGTACATGTTTGTGTGTAATGTCTGTGTGTAATGGTACATGTGTGTGTGTAATGTCTGTGTGTAATGGTACATGTGTGTGTGTAATGTCTGTGTGTAATGGTACATGTTGTGTGTAATGTCTGTGTGTAATGGTACATGTTTGTGTGTAATGTCTGTGTGTAATGGTACATGTGATGTGTGTGTAATGTACTGTGTGTGTAATGGTACATGGTTGTGTGTAATGTCTGTGTGTAATGGTACATGTGTTGTGTGTAATGTCTGTGTGTAATGGTACATGTTGTGTGTAATGGTACAATGTTTGTGTGTAATGTCTGTGTGTAATGGTACATGTTGTGTGTAATGTCTGTGTGTAATGGTGTGTGTAATGTGTGTAATGTCTGTGTGTAATGGTACATGTTTGTGTGTAATGGTAATGTCTGTGTGTAATGGTACATGTTTGTGTGTAATGGTACATGTTTGTGTGTAATGTCTGTGTGTAATGGTACATGTTTGTGTGTAATGTCTGTGTGTAATGGTACATGTTTGTGTGTAATGTCTGTGTGTAATGGTACATGTTTGTGTGTAATGGTACATGTCTGTGTGTAATGGTACATGTTTGTGTGTAATGTCTGTGTGTAATGGTACATGTGTCTGTGTGTAATGGTACATGTTTGTGTGTAATGTCTGTGTGTAATGGTACATGTTTGTGTGTAATGTCTGTGTGTAATGGTACATGTTTGTGTGTAATGTCTGTGTGTAATGGACCTTGTTGTGCTGCAGTCGTGTGCCACGTGTCTCAGACGTCAAACTTCGACTCGTCCGTCGTCAACACTTTAACCGTCGCCAACGACAACGGCGCGGCCGAGCCCTGGACGCTCTACGGAATCTTCCAGATCAGTCATCACTTCTGCAGCGGCGAGGACGCGCTGTGTGGATCCGACTGTGCAGGTCAGACTCCCGCTGTAACCCACTTCACACACTGAGCTCCAGTCAAACGAAGCTCACTGAGGCCGGCGCTTACAGGAGCCACGTCCATATTAGGAATTCCAGGCAGGTGTGGCAAACAAAGAGCCAATCAGGAGCGAGGATGTTGAAAGTAACGCCCCTCCTCCTTTGTATAGCAACGCAGTGTAATGCCACGTTCTGATGAATTAAATGTCGGTAGTTGATAAATCCGATCACTGACATCAGGAAGTGCTCCGTTAGACTGAGTCAGAATTATGACGTGAAAAACTGTTTTGTGTCTCAGGGCTCACGGACGATGACATCACCGACGACATCCAGTGTGTGGACAAAATCAAGAACACCTTTCTGTGAGTGTCTCGTCCAATCACAGCGCTTCACCCTAACGCCTCGTCCAATCACAGAGGAGGACTAAAGGGGAGAGTGAGGGGAGGGTCTGGAGGACTAAAGGGGAGAGTGGGGGTCTGGAGGACTAAGGGGAGGAGGGAGTCTGGAGGACTAAAGGGGAGAGTGGGGGAGGGGTCTGGAGGACTAAAGGGAGAGAGGGGGGAGGAGGGGGTCTGGAGGACTAAAGGGAGAGTGGGGGGGGGGTCTGGAGGACTAAAGGGAAGAGTGGGGGGAGGAGGGGTCTGGAGGACTAAAGAGGAGAGTGGGGGGGTCTGGAGGACTAAAGGAAAGAGTGGGGGGGTCTGGAGGACTAAAGGGAAGAGTGGGGGGAGGGGTCTGGAGGACTAAAGGGAAGAGTGGGGGGGAGGAGGGGTCTGGAGGACTAAAGGGAAGAGTGGGGGGAGGAGGGGTCTGGAGGACTAAAGGGAAGAGTGGGGGGTCTGGAGGACTAAAGGGAGAGTGGGGGGGGAGGGGTCTGGAGGACTAAAGGGCAGAGTGGGGGGGGGAGGGGTCTGGAGGACTAAAGGGAAGAGTGAGGGGGGTCTGGAGGACTAAAGGGGAGAGTGGGGGGCGGGGTCTGAGTGTGTACAGAACAGTGTGATTGTTCCACATCCACATTGTGACAGAAATCACATTTTTTCTACATTTTTGACCAGAAAGCTGCAAACTTTGCATTAAAATGACAAAAAAAATATAATAATTAAAAAAAAAAATAACATTAGTAACAGTTGTTTTTAGTTCCACTTTAAGCTGGATGTTATTGTGACTGAAGTGGGGAGTGTGTTGCTCAGGGACACACAGGCAGGCTGCATTAAAGGGCCACATCACACTATTTTCTGATTTATGTTCTAGTGTCGTTTCCTCTTCACACACAAACAGACCTGGAGTTGTGTTTTGTTTCTTTCACACGTTTAAACACACAAACCCTGCACATTTAGGCTGAGCTCTTCCACCTCGTGATGTCATCATGTGGTGATACAGGAAGAGCTCCGCTGTGTTTTTAAACTCCACACACCTTCACTAGAATCATCTGGATTATTTGGATCATTTGGATCATTTCAGCTCTGGACTTGCTCATTTATACTGAACTAAAGGTCAAATGAGCTGTAAACTTAAAACCACCTCTTCATGACATCACAAGGTGGATCAGAGCGTTTGGAGCGTTGCAGATGTGGACAGATTTACTCAAAGCTCACAGGAGTCAGTTTTTTGAGACTAATGTTGTTTCATTTTGTCTTCAGTAAAAACCCTACTGCAGCCAGTCACGTCTACAAGGAAATGTGAGTCTGCGTTTCCACTTTTGGTCAAAGGAAAAGTAAATAAATATTTGAATAAATCGTCCTTTTTCCTGTTTTCCAGAATTCCTAAACTCTTCACTCCGAACTGTCAGAGCTCCATCATCTCCGACTGCAGAAACTGAGGCCGGATCTGCAGAGAAATAAATCTCCCGTCTTTAATATAAAGTGAAAGATGATTAATATATGACGATAGTCGAGTTCAAAGTGTTTAGAGAAAAAACTCCAGTTTCTATGATTCCAGCTCAATGTACGAAAATAAACATGTAGACGAAGAAACACACGAATAATGTCTGGTTTTTATGAAAGAGACAAACAGAGAGAAAGAGACAAACAGAGAAAGAGACAAACAGAGAGAAAGAGACAAACAGAGAAAGAGACAAACAGAGAGAAAGAGACAAACAGAGAGAAAGAGACAAACAGAGAGAAAGAGACAAACAGAGAAAGAGACAAACAGAGAGAAAGAGACAAACACAGAGAAAGCGGCAGTAGCTCAGTTGGTGGAGCATTCGCCCACTGATCTGAAGGTTGGCGGTTCGAATCCAGCTCTCGACATAAAAAAAAAAAACCATCACAGGTTGAGCGGTCAGACCCACTGACCCACAGGTTGGCTGGTGTGATTCCAGCTCCCACAGATGAATGCTGTCGTTGTGTCCTTGGGCAAGACACTTAACCCACCCTGCCCACAGTGTCTGCGTACACTGGTGTGTGAATGTGTGTGTGAATGGGTGAGTGGTTCCTTGTTGTAAAGCGCTTTGAGCCTTGAAGGTGGAAAAGCTATAGAAAAATGTGACCATTTACCAAAGAAACAAACAGAGACAAACAGAGAAAGAAACAAAAAGAGAGACAAACAGAGAGAGAGAGAAATAGAGAGAGAGATCTACACTCTGCACTCAGTAGCAAAAGAAAAAATCAAAGTCTGTTTAGTGTGTGTGTGTATGTATGTGTGTGTGAAAGGGTCATGATGGTCGTGTGAGTTTACAGGGAGAAGAGTTGAGGGGAAAGAACACGACCCTGAGGAGACCCACACACAAACAAACAGACAAACAGACAAACAAACAGACAAACAAACAAACAAACAGACGTGACAAGAAACACTTTCATTATTTTATTTCATTTTTACCTTTGAAAAAACAGAATAAGCCCTTCAGACGTCGACAGTCGCCTGGTGCATGGACCACAACACAGTTTAGCACAGTTAGCACATTAGCCTCAAAACACACAGATGTTCAATCTCAAGAAGAAGGTTTGTTTTTTTTATTTTGTTGAATAGTTTCACAAGTATCAGAAGCAGCAGCCTGCAAATGTCCGAACTGTAAGAAAGTATTGGAAAGTACCGTCCTCCTCAACTCTGACCGGCCACGAAACCATCACCTCACATTCATCACTGAACAACTGACACACACACACACGCACGCACACACACACACACACCCCGACACACACACACACACACACACACACACACACACACCCCGCACACACACACACACACACACACACACACACACCCCGACACACACACACACACACACATGCACACACACACACACACACACACGACACACACACACACCCCGACACCACACACACACACACACACACACACACACACACACACCCCGACACACACACACACACACACACACCCCGACACACACACACACACACACACACACCCCGACACACACACACACACACCGACACACACACACACACACACACACACACACACACCCCGACACACACACACACACACACACACACACACACACACACACACCCCGACACACACACACACACCCCGACACACACACACACACACACACACACACACCCCGACACACACACACACACACACACACACACACACACACACACACACACACACACACACACACACACACACACACACACCCGACACACACACACACCCCGACACACACACACACACCCCGCACACACACACACACACACACACACACACACACACACACCCCGACACACACACACACACACACACACCACACACACACACACACCCCGACACACACACACACCCCGCACACACACACACACACCCCGACACACACACACACACCCCGACACACACACACACACACACCCGACACACACACAACACACACACGCACACCCCGACACACACACACACACACACACCCGACACACACACAACACACACACACGCACACCCGACACACACACACACACACCCCGACACACACACACACACACACACACACCCCGACACACACACACACACCCACACACACACACACACAGGCACAGACACACACACAGATGTGACTGTGTCCAGATCAACTCTTATTCAGTAAACTGAGTCATGTTTGAGTCAGACTGTGGAGTCAGAGTCTGGGCACAGTTCTGTTCTGAACTCAGGGACACGAGAGAGAAAAAACACAACAGAATCATCACCAGGTTCATCAAATAAAACAAAGTTACATCAGGTGAAGACAAACACACATACATATACACACATGCATATACACACATACATACATACATACATATACACACATACATACATACATACATATACACACATACATATACACATACATACATATACACACATACATACATACATACATATACACACATACATACACATACATACATATACACACATACATATACATACATATACACACATACATACATACATACATACATATACACACATACATACATACATACATACATATACACACATACATATACACACACATACATACATATACACACACACATACATATACACACACACATACATATACACACATGCATACATACATACATACATATACACACACACATACATATACACACATGCATACATATACACATACATACATACATATACACACATACATATACACACACACATACATATACACACATGCATACATATACACACATACATACATATACACACATACATACATATACACACATATACATACATACACATAAACATTCATACACACACAGATACACACATACATATATACATATTGATTATTGATTATGATGTGCTGTTACTAAATGTTCACATGTGTGAACAGACCTCACAGTGTGTTCAGTTCACTGCTGTAACAGCGCTGCCCTCTAGTGGACGTCTGTGTGTGTGAATCTACTGTTTGTGTGTCTGTGTTTGTAGATTTTTCAAAAAGCAAAAGAGTGTCTCAAAAATACATCATAGAGGAAATCTGTGCATTGCTGATCCACAAATACAAATCACATTTTACAAAAAATAAATACACACACACACACACATATATAGTGTGTGTGTGTGTGTGTATTTTACCATAATAACTAGGGGTGTCAAATTATCACAGTAATTACGATTAATTAATTACAGTCATACTTAGCGCGTTGTTTTTTAATTGTGTTAATCTTATTTTTTATCTCTAACTTTACTGTTTCTGTTCACGAGTTTCCTTATTATAAAATCTGTTTTTATGTGTTTTTGGGACAACAACACATCGCTCCCGCAAAGAATTGTAATTTTTATTCTCGTTCTCGAAGCATCTGTGATAAACCTGCACACGTCTGATCTGAAAACATCACGACACAAACACAGAACAGACTCACCATCAGCAGAACATCCCTCTGTCACAGAAAGAACATCTATATTCCACTGAGTCACTGTGTCCTTTAGTCCAACAGAAACTGAACCACATCAGCGACACAAGAGCATTTTGTTTTTTTTCTTCGCTTAGTTTATGTAAATGAGTCATGTGGTTTTTAGTTTTGTTTCTGTGAGACTTGCACAAATCTGCATTAAACACATTCTAATGTCAAACAGCTGATGTGGCTCTAGAGTTTTTATGTTTATATGTTGTAAAGTTGAGTTTATTTATGCAGATTAGTAACAGTAATAATAATGATGATGATACTGTGGAATGTAAGTGACTGCATCTGTTAAAGTTTCCTTTATAAAGTCACTTTTTTTGTTCTATATCCGTCTTTTGATCTGCCACAATAATGTAATAATGAATATAAATGGAAATACCTCAAGTTGAAGCTTTTCTCAGCAATTTTTAGGTGAGATTAAAAAAAAGAGATGAATTAGATTAATTAATTACAGATCATAATTAATTAATCTCTCAATTTTTTTAATCACCTGACAGCACTAATAATAACTACCATAATACAAGTTACACAATACAGTTACAAATATTAAATTTGCATTTGTGGATGAACAAACCAGTGAGTGTTTGTGTTTGTAGATCTTCTTCTGTGCATTTGTGAAGATTAATGAGACAAAAATAACTTCATATAAAAAAGTGAGCAGTAGAGTAACAGTTGTTGTTTTGTAAATGTTGGGCCTTTTCTTTACTTTTGTTAGTTAATGTTACATCAGTAATTCATTAAACGGTTGTATTCTCAGGTGTTTCTTGGGCTGTTGCTCTTCTGATCTGGAAAACTGACAGTAAAAATAAAAACTTTGTGTTTGATGGGGGCAACTTCACGCTTCAAAGTAAAAACTTTTCATTAAAGAGCTCAGATGTGTTCAATAAAAACATCATGTCCTCAGAAGGTGACGTCAGGTTCCTGAGTTGTTTTTCAGACTTGTGCTGCGTTCAGGTGCATTTTTCAACTCGGAAAAACATTTTCCCGAGTTCCGAGGACCACGACATTTAAACTGGATGAGAATGGAACGTAACCATGGAAACCAGACTCATAACCAAGGAAATCAAGAAATGTTCCTGTAACATCCTGGATTCTTTCACAAATAAACCAAACCGGCTTCGTTCACACAAGACGCAGGTTTAAATTCCCGGTCGGGCGGCCTGTGTGACTGGGTCTCTCAGCTGGGAACGCCTTGGGAAGAGCTGGAGGAAGTGTCTGGGGAGAGGGAAGTGTGGGAGTCCCTGAAGAAGAAGACTGTGTGGTGTTGTAAAGCAAAGTGGAGTGTGTAAATGTTTCTTTGTTGTCAGACGAAGTGTCCCGGGGCGAGCTCGTCCGTGTCCTCGTGGTCTGTGCCCGGGCCGGTTCTGGGCAGCAGGTCCCCGGTGCTGGACAGGCTGGCGCGGGTGATCCGGCTCAGGCTCTGGTCGTAGGGCGGGGGCAGGTACACCATGACGAAGACGCCGTCGGAGCCGTCGGAGCTGGTGCTGTTGAGTCTCTCGGCGTTGCGCGTGAGGGACGACAGGATCTCCGCTTGGCTCTCGGGGTCGTCCAGGTCCAGGGCGATCACCCCGGACACGCCCAGTTTGGACCCGGA